TAATTACCCTTCTAACTCTATGTAACACCCCACTTGAGGTGCGTAGTTAAGATTTGATGAATGGTTCGAATGTTTATCGATTTATCCTTAGTTGAGTCTGTATGTTGTTATTATTGTTTGGTTTATCCTTGGATGAAAAGGTGTATTGGTTTGGTTGAGTGTTTTTCTTGAAGGTTAGTATGATTTAGCAAAATTTTAGGGTTATGGTCTTCGCCGGGGCGAAGAAGTTTTGTCGCCGCGGCGAAGATGGAGTGCTTCAACCCGGGTGGCCTCTGTGAGTTTTCGCCGAGGCGAAGAAAATAGCTTCGCCGCGGCGAAGACTCAGCTGAATATTCCCCTTGAGTTTTTGAGATTTCTTTCTTTTGAGACACAATGACAATTCTACCCCTTTTTAGCAGGAAAAGTGGGGAGTGAATTGTAAGGAAAATTCATGGAGAATACTTTGATTGGGGTTGTGTTTGCAAAGAATGAAAGGTCTTAAATGGAATTTCAAAGAGTGAGTAAGGGTATTTTGGGAAAGAGTGGAGAAAAATATGTGATATTAAGGGTTAGCTTTAGAAACCCCTTCATTTTGTTTTTCACCACCGCCTCTTTCATCCCCTATTTCTCTCAATTTTTCATCCAAGATTCCAAGGATTCTTGAAGAGCTTTTTGACTAGAATTTGTTACAAATTGATCCTAAGTGCTAAAAGGTAAGATTCCTTACTCTAGAAGCAAATTTTCATTTGTTGAAAGAAGGGGATCCTTATTTAAGTTTTGTATTGAAGGCTAAGAGAAAGTGTCAAGCCATCAAGAGTGGAGAGTTTAAGTGGGTTCTACTTGTGTCCAAGGTAAGTAAAATCATCTAAGTTGTGATTTACTTGATTGAATGATGTGTAGAGAGTTTTAGATCTATGATTAATGCTTGAATTGTTTATGTTGAAATAAGTTGATGAATTCATGAATGGGTTCAATGTTGTTATATGAAGGATTTTTCCACCATGAGGAGGGTGGATTGTGTTGTGAAATTTTGGTAGAAGTATGGGTAGAATTAGAAGTAATTGGGAGGAATTTTTGAAGTGTGTTTCTCTTTGCAGGATGTGTGATGATTCAAAGGAGTTGAACTCCAATTTTGGATGGTTAAGAAAGAAATATGATTAAAGTTAGAATAGAGTTTATGTATGCACACATATTGTTTGATGAAATGCCTAAAAGAAGCATAAGTAGAATTAGAGAACCTTACCTTATGCAACGTAGCATATTTGCATGTCATGAATGCATATAAGGAAGATTTTAGGCATGAGTCATCCATATGCATATGTTTAATTGAGTAATTACATAAGAAAGAAATATGAGAAATGAGAAAGAAACACTCTATGAATAGAGATAAAGAAAAGAACAAATTCTCTTAGAGTAAAGAGAAAGAAAGAACTAGCACTAGAAGATAAAATGATTCTTAAGTGCTATAGAAAAGAAAAGAAACTAGGTTGTGCGATGGGGAACTCGTGAGTATAGAGTTACCCTCATGTAAACCGTTATGAGAAAGAACGGTCTCCGCCATGAGAGAGCGGAATGCGTGTAAATCGCTATGATAAGGAGCGATCTCCGCCATGAGAGAGCGGAATGCATGTGATCCGTTATGAGAAAGACGGACTCCGCCATGAGAGAGCGGAATACACGTAAACCGCTAAGAGAGAGAGGAAGCGGTTTCCGCCATGAGAAAGGCGGTATGAGAAAGAAAAGAATAGAAAGAAAAGAAAAGAAAGAAAAATGAGAATTTGAATTAGAAAGTTGATAAGAATACAAAGAAAATTGATGAGTAATGCACGGGGATGATAGCGTAAGAGACTGTTTTACTTACTGGGCATCTTTGTGCTCACTCCGTTGTTTTCTTTGTTGTACAGGAAATAGGTGAGGACTTGGTCGGATAAACGTCGGCAAGCGGGGAGATTTGGCTGCACTGTCCCTTGTTTTGTTTTGTTTCAAAAGCCCTTGTACATATGATGTTTTGTTTTGTAATGAATGTGATTATTAAGTAAAGAAATTTTTGGGCCCAACTTGTTTTGATAAATATGCTATCTTTTTATTAATCGATATTACGAATTTGGTAGAAAGAAAGTAGTTGTTACACTCTATCTCTTGACAGTTGGTAATTAGACAGCCCTAACTCATCACCATGATTCAACTACTCACCTTCAAATTCACCAGTTTGATCACCCACAAAATTTTCAGGATTATCTTCCTCAGCTTAAATCTCATTGTCATCAGCTCCACCTTGATTCACAGTTTGATCAACTTTGGAGTTTTGAAATTCTTGAAGTTCTAGTTCTAAGTAATCTAATCCTAATGGATTGCCTTCTGAATTTTCAGAATCCTTTTCAAGACCAAGTAGGACTTCTTCTCTAAAAACAACATCCCTGCTGATAATAAATTTCTTAGACTCTAAGTTCCAGAGTTTATAGCCCTTTACCCCATCTGGGTATCCTAAGAAAATAAATTTAATGCCTTTGGGTTTTAATTTATCTTCTCTAACGTAGACATAAGCTAGACATCCAAAAACTCTAAGATTTTCTAGTTTTATAGGATGACCAGTCCACTTCTCCAGAGGGACCCTAAAACCTATTGTTGAAGATGGTGTTCTATTGATTAGGTAGACTGCTGTGTGTGCTGCCTCTACCCAGAATTTGAGTGGCAGCTTAAAACTAGACATGATGCTCCTAACCTTTTCTAAAATGGTTCTGTTCATCCTCTCACAAAGACCATTTTGTTGTGGGGTATTCCTTACTGTTTTGTGTCTCACAATTCCATGTGTCCTACAGAAATTGTTAAATTCTTCATTTACAAACTCTAGACCATTATCAGTCCTAAGTTTCTTCAACTTATTTCCAGTTTGTGTTTCTACCATGACTTTCCATTCCTTAAACCTAGAGAATGCCTCATCCTTGGTTTTAAGAAAGTAGATCCACACATACTTAGAAAAATCATCAACAAAACTAATGAAGTATCTACATCCTCCAAGTGAGTAGTGCCTAGATGACCCCCAAACATCTGAGTGAACATACTCAAGTGATGAACTTGAGTAGTGTTGACTAGATCCAAACTTAACTCTACTCATTTTTCCAAAGACAGAATGTTCACAGAAAGTTAGACTTCCAATCTTATCCCCACACAGCAGGTTTTGCTTGCCTAGTTTTACTAAGCCCTTTTTACTAACATATGCAAGTCTTTGATGCTACAATGAAGTTCTATTTTTAACTTCCATTGACCCAACAGTAGCAACCCCACTCTCCACACTACCCTTTAACACATATAACCCATTTCTTTTCTCAGCTTTCATAACAATTAGAGATCCTTTCATTACACTAAGGCTGTCATTTGCAGCCTTATAGCTAAACCCATTAGAATCTAGGGTTCCTAGTGAGATTAAATTCCTTTTCAGGTCAGGAATATATCTAACATCGGTGAAAGTTTTAGTTACACCACTTTGAAGGTTTAGCTTAACTGTACCTATACCTTTTATATGACACACAACATTATTCCTCATCATAACTTTCCCACCATCTAAAGGTTGAAATGAGTTTAACCATTCTCTATTTGGTGTCATGTGGTAGGTACACCCTGAGCCTAGGATCCACTCCTCACTAGTTTTACCCTAAAAAATAACTAAAATCTCTAAACTTTCATATCCCTCAGATGCTACACCAGCACTGCCTTCCTCACTATCTCTTTCAGGTTTCTTTTTGTTCTTTCTCTCATGACAATCTCTCCTAAAATGACCCTTCTTATGGCAAAAGAAGCATTTTCTATTCCCTGATCTAGATTTTGACCTGTTCCTATTTTGTCCTCCTTTTTTTCCAATTCTTCCTTTCTGATCTCCCTCTGACATTAAGGCCTTCACCATCACCACTATTTTTATCTCTCATCCTATTTTCACTATCCTTGGCAGAAATAGCCTCCACTACCTCTTCTAACTTTAGTGTTTGTTTGTTCCAGATTTCAGCAGCTATCTTCTCCTTCTTGACCTCCCGAAGGACTTTGTCACCCAGTCCAAGGATCAAGGAGCTTTTGGCTTTGTCCAGCATTTCCTGCTTCTCGAAATCTATCATAGTCTCTGGGAGTTCAGTCTCTTCTTTTAGGGCTAGGGATACCCCTTCCTTGATCAGTACTGCTTCCATCTTCATTTTCCACCGACCAAAATCATTCTCACTTGTAAACTTTTCAAGTTCAAACTTAGTGGACATGATTCAACTTTAGCCTAAGAAACTAATCACAAAACACTCAAAACAAAATAACACTTTATGAAGCCCTAAACCAGGCTCTGATACCAATCTGTTGGATTTTGAACTGAGTTTTCACAGATTACAACTCTCAGACTAATTAACAACTTTGTAACAAGAAGGCAATCACATATTACAGTTCTCAGACTAACTAATGACTTTCTAACATGAAAGCAATCATAGATTTAAAAACAAGGGATCATCAAGCAGGAAGCATTTAAACTTAGATAAAGTAAAGAGATAAAGATCGACACAAAGGATTATAGTGGTTTGGCTTTAAACCCTACATCCACTCTTCAAGGCACAAATAAGATGCCATTTCTATCAAAGTCAAGTAGGGAATTTACAGAGTATTGAACTAGAAAAGCAAAATGAGCAAGGAAAGAATACAACCCGAAGAAACCTTAGCTTTCTTCCTTTTTCCCCTTGCTGCCAATCCGTATCAAAGGGAATCAATATATACCCATGAGTCATCTCTAGGATCAGCCTCCACTTGGATCTAAAGGATTTCCAGCCGTAGATGAGTAACAGATTTCGTCCTCTCCCATTAGCATATTCTAGAACAAATGAGGAAAGAGAGAGATGAATGCTGGATCAAATGTCACGAAAACCTTCTTTAGCTCAACCTTAAACGACGTCACTCCAGCCTTTGACTCAATACAAATTTAATTGACTCCACCATGGCAAAACATAAGCCACCTCACCACAGCAAAAAAAAAAAAATTTTGTATGAAGGGGGAAAAATAAGATAGACATAGCTCATGCCAAGTTTGGCTCTCTGATTTGTGTTTGAAATTAAAGAACATTGTAAGTTGATGTCATCACTCTTACATTCCAGTATCTCAAATGATAGCAAAATGGGGCAAAAAAAAATATTTGTAAAGTTCCGTGGCATTCTACTCTACCTAGCCATGGATATGCCTTCTTCAAGACAATCTTACATAATATTGAGATCAAAACAGTACTTTTTAGATCTTTTGAAAGATGATATATACACCATGTCGAGGCTCTACAATCATTCTGTAAGCAGGAGAATGTTGATATTTGGGAGATAATGAGAAAGTAAACTTGGAGACAATAAGGGAGAGGAGAATCTTCAATTGAACCATTGCAAAATTTTTGCCTAAGCATAGGCGTGGACCCAGTCCAAAGGGAACGTATGCTTGAGGAAATTTGCAAGCTTTAGAGACACCTTCAGAAAACCTTTCGGGTTTGAACTCATTTGCATCCACTCCCCAAATTTCAGGATCTCGGTGCAGAGTTGGGATCAGAGTCCATAAACATACACCTTTGGGAACAATAATATTTCCAACTCGAGTCTCTTCAAGTGCCTCCCTTGACACGAATGCTGCTGGGGGATACAGACGCAATGATTCATGAATCACCATGGTCACCTGTAGAATTTTGTCCAAATTAAACAGAAGGTTATAAAATTAATGGAACTTAAATCCATAAAGTCATAGTAATATTTAGTATACCGTTTTTAAGTGGAGAAATGAATCGGGATCAGGAAAGGTATCCCCAAAAACTTGGGTGAGCTCTGTGCGAATACGAGCTTGCCACTCAGGATGTAGAGCAAGCAGCATTAAGCACCAAGAGGCAGCGACAGCGGTAGATTCGTGGCCAGCAAAATAAATGCTCTTACAATTATCAACTATGAATCGCTTGGCTGTACCCAAAGATTGATCATTCACAGCTCCCTCCAGTATCAACTGCATTAGATCCTTTTCTGATGAGGATGTCTCTTGTTCACGTTCCTTCACTGCCTCCCATATCAACGACTCTATTTCTCTCTCCAAACTCCCAATTTCATTTTGCTTCTTCATTGACAGGAGCCTGCCTCTGTATCATATATGTTCAAAGAATTAATTATGTTATAACATTAATTTTAACTGTTGACATACGGTGTATATATATATATATATATATACACATATGAGTTGGGATTGTTTGGTAATTGTAAGAACATACGCGAAACTTGTGACCCCAAAAAGTAAGCTTTGGTTGGAAATGGCTTTCTGAAGACTCCTAAGTTTAGAGAAAATCTCTTTGCCTTTGAAATAAGAGCTACCAAAACAAGCCCTTGAGATAACATCTCCTGAGAACTCCCTCAAATCCTCGTCAACTCGAATTTCTGCTGTCACACCACCTTGTGCTTCTATACAGTCTTGCCATTTTCTTAGCAATGGCTGTGTCGACTCCACCATTAGCCCTACCATGCCCTGCATGTTGCAAGTAAATTAATTTAGATATCATAATAATGAATTAATTAACCACAATTATTAACGTGAAGGAGTACCTTGACTTTGTCCATAAAGAACTCGGGTGCAACGATTTTCCTCTGTTGGGCCCAAATATGACCATTGGACCTTATAACGCCATTTCCAAGCATGGGCAAGAGTTTCTTGGTTACATAAGAAGGCTTACCTAAGTCCAGGGTATTACTTAGGTTCATTTCTTTTACAAGCTCTGGTTGGTTCACATACAAGTGTTGCCTCATTCCCGTTGAATATGTGTACAATGGACCTTTCAAAGGGCATTAAATTAAATAGCTAGCGTTACTAAATCACACCACAATTAGCAATACATTTCTATTCCATTTATCTGTTTAGAGAAGAAAGATTATATATGTCTCAATCATTGACATATAAAATAAAATAAGATTTTACTGTGGGCCAGTCTTAATAAAATAAATGTCTACTGTTTAACAAACATAAAAATCATAGTTTAAGTGAGCAAATTTGATTAATTGTTTGCCGACCATTATTATTAGTGATGGGTGTACACAGCTGACTGGTCAAACTCAACGACTGACCCAATGCGAATCCAATCCGTGCATGATTTCATGAACAAATATGTTAACAGACTACTTTAGTGACAGCCTGGCAATTCTAGTGAAATATGTTCAGACTGATGACTGTGACTCATCTCAGTTAAAAAAAAAAAAAAATTAATAAACGAAACCAGTAAGTAATTAGGGAGGGAGGCAAGATAAGATAAAGGTACCGTATTCCTTTCTCCACTGCTCGAAATACGGGAAGAGGGTTGAGGTGTAGTCGTGGGCAACGATATCATGATTCGATTTGGATGGCTTTGTATTGAGTTGGATCTTCTGCATCTCCGGTAGATTTCCATAAAAAATCGAAGGGGGAGGTCCTCTTATCCCTTGGACACGGAGCTTCTTCCTCACTCTTTCAGACTTTAGCCATATAGTATTGTAGAGATGAAGAAATAAGCAAACTAAGCCTAAAACGCCAACTGAACAAATGGTTGGCAGAAGACTCATCACCTCCATAATATCGATCTCTTCTGCTCCTGCTGGTGTTTCTCTGGCTTAATTTTATTATCATATATAGCAACTGTGAGTAGTGTGTATGTATGAAAGCCGCTTTCCGTTGTACAGGGAATTACATTATTAATGATTAGTTAATTGAGAGGAAATTCAGCAAGTAGACATTAAACTAAAAAGAGGACATAAGGCACCTCACATCCTGATACTGATCCTAAGATGATTGGACTCAATGAATTGACCTGAAGAGCCCGTTTATTGGGCGATAGCGATATTAGTAGTTCAATAATACACAATAACATCGGAAAATAACATCCATTACTTTAATAGTAGGTAGCGATGTGTTTGTTGTTTATAATTACAATTAATTCGTAGTAGCACATGGGATGGGATAATTCAAGTCGATACCGACAATTATGGTCAAATAAGTCATTGGATGAAGTCACCCTATTTATTGGGGTGGTCCGCACTCCAGAAAGACATACATGGGTTAATTTTTCAAACAGGTGAGGTGAGATCCTCGATGCTCCAACTCCTATTAAGGACCACCTTTTAAGTTTGGAAGAAGAGTCTAGACTACTACTACTACAGATGTTAAAAAAAAAGGAGAAGGAGGAGGAGGAGGACGACCACCTTTATGAGTTTAAAAAAGAATCTACTTTCTTTGTTGTTTATCGAACTCTCTCACTCGATCCACACCAGTACTCACATGGGTGATGGAACTATAACCAAAACCATATTACTAGTATTTAGTAGTACGAGTAAGTAATTAAGTTAAAATTTGAAGCTGACGCCTGACGGTGTTGTAAAAGTTCCATTAAATAAATTAAAAAAGGGACGGCGCCGTCCTCGAAACAAAGGTGTGCCGCGTGGCTCGGTGGATCTTCTTTTCTAATGTGTCAAGCAGATGGTGCAACATTTCTGCACCCCCACCACGTTGGATGCCTTCGGACTTGAGTGAACCCCTCCTTTTATACTTTGACAACTACGTTTATTTCGATTGCCCGTAAAGGCACACACCAAAGGCTCCATTAACTCTCTTGTGCTTTGGTCCTCTTCCTTCGTTAAACTTTGCTTCTGAAGGTCAGATGATATTTTCTAATTTCGCCCTTGGACCTAACCTTGTGCATAAGAGAAGAGCAAACCAGCCAAAAATCATGATGCTGGAACCCTTATATACATGGATTTAGTCACTCTTTCTCCTTGAGTCTTATTAATCTATTTTTCTCTGTTTTAAGAAATAAAACATTCATCTCCTAGAACAATGTTAGAACCCTATTCACTTTCTTTTGTTGTTGTTCTCCTCCCATTATGGTGTCATCATGTGTAGGAGTTATCAAAGCACAATTTTTTTCATTTAACTTCTGACACATCTTCAATAACTAGGATCAACTCTATTATATTTTAATGAGTTAGATAAATGTGTCTACCTTTTGAAGGGAAATAGGATGAAATAACCTTATATGAAAGGTTATTTTGAAATTTAATCAAAAATTATTTTCACATTATCTGTTTAACCACTCATCTTCTTCAAATAACAAAATTGTTGAACACAATAGACTCTATTGATTAGATAGTGAAGTTTGTATTCAGGATGTGAGTAAAAGAGGGGTACTTTTGAGGATGGATGGGTAAATATGCGGCAACGGTTTTGATTAAATTCAAAAATAATCCCTGAAATAGGGTTTCATTACGGTGAATCCCCCAATTTTGAAAGCAAAGTAAGGGAGGATGAAAAGATAAGCAACGTATTGGGTATGTAGTAAGAGTGGAGTCGTACAAAGTCCAGCCCAGTTTGATGGGTCCAATTAGAGGGGCTACACAGACACAGAGTTGTGGGAGCCCATACAAATTCAGCATAATTAACACAACATTGTGGGTAATTATTTCAATTTCAATAGGTGCAACTATTTGAAAACAAATCGGACGAGGACGAACACACTGTCAAAATCAAATATCAAAACTCAAAAATAAAAGTGAGGCTGGAAGAAAACCTTCTCCCCTCCCGGTCTCGCTTCATAAGAGTAAGTGATACTTGATCACTTGATTTCTACTTGAATATGAAATCTAGTGTTAAAGAGGAAGCTCAATTTTGTTGAAGGAAGTAAAGGAGTGTTTACAGCGATGGAAGGCGGGGGAGGGGGGAGGAGGATAACCGTGAGCCCAAGACCTTGCAGTGGAAGAAGAGTGGTAGCAAAGAAACGAGGTCGTGGTTGGGCTGGGTTTGATGGCTTCGTTAACAGCGTTAAGAAACTTCAGAGACGCGAAATCAGTTCCAAACGTGACCGTGCTTTCACCATGACTGACGCCCAGGAGAGATTTCGCAACATCCGTTTACAGGTTACTTCTCTCACTTCTCATTTTTAAACCTTGGGTTACTAATTTAACTAAACATCGGATGCATCTGAGTTTCCTTTATTCTAATTTGGGATATTTTCTGCAATCTCTAGACCCTTTGAAAAAAGGATTATTCTATGTTAGATATGTACTTGCCAGACCTTAGGTATTTCAATTAATTCTGCTAGGTGGGTCTTCAGTTTAATCTACTTCCGTCTATGTTTCATTGCAGAGTTACTAAATTTATCTGTTTAGGTACTAAAAGATTATAGTTTTAAGACCTAACTCGAACTCAAACTCAAGCTCCAATAAATTAAAATAATCAGAAAGCAAACATTCATGAAGGGTGGCGCTAAGGATTTAACTCGATTGCTCCTTTTCTCACCAGCTCACTCCATGTTACGAAGAGTGAAGGATATCTATGATTATCCTATCAACTTGATATCAATCGTTTGGGTGTTATTATGTTAAATTGTTTAGTAGCTGGAGAATGATCTGTTAGTTCCCGTTTTTAGTTCTTGATGGTGTGCAGTGTCCCTCTAAATATCATCTATTGTTGTTGTCTTTTTAATAACACTATTCACCGTTTGTGTTTCATTGTTGGTGATATTCCATATATACCATGATTAGAAATCTTGAGAGAACCATTCACAGTATATTGAAACTGATCTTTAATGGAATTCATTCATCTTTGTTGCCCTTTTATTCCAATATATAATTTTACCATTGTAAGAATTTATGACTATGATTCTGGTTAAAGGAATGGTTCATATCAACCCCATGTTCATACTATTTTAGGGGATTTGACTTTTAGTCTGTTGTAGCATAATTGTTTATTTTTTTTCTTTCTAATCATTGTAGCTAAATAAAATTTATGAGAGTGTTGGAGCAAGTAGAAAACGTCTTCATGACTGCCAGCATTTTACATAAATAGCTTAACTTACTAAAAGGGTCACTTAGGTTTGGCCCACTACTACCGTGCCAATTTGGCATAAACCCATACATAGAAACAAAAGAGACGTAGCGATGATTCAAGCCGAATTTTGAGAGAAAATGTACCAGAATAGAGTCAAAGAACAGGAACTTAGTCTCTTTCTTGCCATTGTTAAAACTATTTTTTGATGTGCAAGGGAGAGAGATGAAGGGGCTGGGGCCTGGGGCCTGCGGAATTATTTTAGTTCTGACTTGATGACATTTGAAAAAATGATCAACTTTATATCTGATCTTGAGAGAATTAAGGTTTTTTTTAGAGTTGATCATTTTTTGTTGCATTAATCCTTATTTTATAAGATAGTTAAATGAATTAAGCTGTTTAATATCTGACTTTGAGTATTTTGGATTTTTGTTTAAATAAATTGCCTTGATTATACAAGTAGCCTTTCAATACTCTGGAAATCTGAAATTTTAGTTCAGATCTTTTGCTTCGAGAATCATTCTGACTTAAATTTGATGCTTTATTTATCATGTAGTGAATTTTGTTCCAGCAAACTTGCTTCCATATGTATTGATAAAATTGAAACTAGGATTTCAATGTGGCTATTGCTGAACATGAAATCATTGAGATAATTGACTTATTAAACTAAGAATAGTGTTGTTATGAGTGAGTTTTATATCGACATCTGTATGATAAAAGAAGCATTTTTACTTTTTTAATTATTGTAGACAAAGTAATTGGTGAATTAATTGTATAAAGCTGTGGTTCCTATCACAGGCGATATTGAAGCTCATGGTGAAGTATAGCATGGCATGTGTGTTGTAGAATTAAAAAGGTCTTCTGAAGTCTGATACTTGATTTGTAAAATTGGATTCATAAGAACGTGGATCAGAAACATAAAATGGCACTTGAAAGTGAACTTCATGATTGGTATATGTTGGTAGACGCTAAGTGCAAATACTTGTCTTTCCTTTGAGGTCAATGATGTAATTGGTGCTTTATTCTTACAATAATCTTACATATAAGGCTTGTAATTTGATATATTTGTTGTATGACCTTATCCAAACTCCTGCTTGTTATCTGTTGTACCAATAGGAAGAATATGATACACATGATCCGAAAGGCCATTGTTCTATGGTACTGCCGTTTCTGAGAAAGAGGTCAAAGATTATTGAGATTGTGGCAGCACGTGACATTGTTTTTGCTCTTGCACAATCTGGTGTTTGTGCAGCATTTAGCCGAGGTAAGAACTTTACTCTTCATCCATTTTAAGGTATTTGGATTTTTTTTATATAATCTATTTGCAAATGAGTGGATTGAGAGAACTATTGTCTTTTGTTTGATGCAGAGACAAACCAAAGGATATGCTTTCTGAATGTCACTGCAGATGAAGTTATAAGAAGCTTGTTTTATAATAAGAACAATGACTCACTTATTACAGTTTCAGTTTGTGCTTCGGACAATTTCAGTTCTTTAAAATGCAGAAGCACAAGAATAGAGTACGTGAACCTCTTCTCACCCTCCCACCTGAAAGTAAATGAGAGAGAAGGAACTAAATGAAAGAATTTAGAAATAATGACTTTTAGATTTAGATTTTCCAAATATTTTCTTACCAAAAACTTTATCTCTTCACGTTTTCCAGATACATACGGAGAGGTAAACCAGATGCTGGTTTTGCTCTTTTTGAATCTGAGTCATTGAAGTGGCCTGGTTTTGTAGAGTTTGATGATGTAAATGGGAAAGTACTCACTTATTCTGCACAGGACAGGTAAGTGTATATTACGTAAACTTGCATTTGTGCTTAGATAAAATTGTGTAGTCTAATAACAACTTCTTGACTCTCTTATGTCCTTCTTTCCTGGTATCTTTTATCAGTATATACAAGGTGTTTGACCTGAAAAATTATACGATGTTATACTCCATATCAGATAAGAATGTACAAGAGATTAAGATCAGGTAATATATCTTTACACTTTTGCTTATTTTGTGCATATTGGCATGCACACATATTCTTGGTGGTTCATGTGTTGGTCATAAAGATAGACTTGTTTTTTGGTTCAGTTTCATTTTATGTTTTGCTTCATATGCATTTACTACCTTCCTTAAATGGTTTTTATCAACAGCCCAGGGACCATGTTGTTAATTTTCACTAAAGCTAGTGGCCATGTTCCTCTTAAGATTCTATCAATAGAGGATGGTACTGTTCTCAAATCTTTTAACCATCTTCTTCATCGAAATAAGAAGGTGGATTTCATTGAACAGTTCAACGAAAAGCTTCTTGTTAAGCAAGAAAATGAGAATCTCCAGATTCTTGATGTAAGGACCTTTACTTTTTTTTGCAATTGTATTCATTCATCAAGGGCCAAATATCTGATTTTATTACTTTTAGGTCCGAAATTTTGAGCTAACAGAAGTTAGCAGAACTGAATTTATGACGCCATCGGCATTTATATTTCTATATGAGAATCAGCTATTCCTGACCTTTAGAAACCGAACTGTGGCTGTTTGGAACTTCCGTGGGGAGCTTGTAACTTCGTTTGAGGATCATCTTTTGTGGCATCCTGATTGCAACACAAACAACATTTATATAACAAGTGATCAGGATCTCATAATCTCTTATTGCAAGGCTGACTCTGATGATCCATTATCGGAAGGAAATGGTAAGGTCTCATTCTCTATCTATCTTTTTACATGTAAAATTTGATGGAACTATATATAGCTGTAAAATCATTTCTTTTTAAAGCACACTGGTATGATTTTCTCGGTTTGTCATGTCAATGTGATGACTTACAGGTGTAATCTTGAAACCAAGAAAATGAAGAATGAAAAAAAAGGCAGTTCAAAAGAAGTTACATGCTTGTTAAAGCTTAATAATCTTAATTTTAATAGAGGATTAAGTTTTTATCATTAGTAGATACATGTTGGCTAAACCTTTTGACTTAAAAAATTGAATGGATTTAAAGAAGCCACTAATCGTGCTTGCATATGTGATGCAGCAGGGTCCATCAATATCAGCAATATCTTGACTGGGAAATGCCTTGCTAAAATAAGAGCAAGCAACAGCTTCCCTGTGGAAAATAAATGCATTTTCAATGGTGATTGTAGCAGTGGAAGTTGCAATGTGAAGAAGCAGGTCTATTCATCCAGAATTAGGAGCACGGTTGCAGAAGCATTGGAAGATATTACCGCCCTCTTCTACGATGAAGAGCGCAATGAGATTTATACAGGCAATAGGCATGGACTAGTTCATGTATGGTCTAACTGAGTTTGAATTTGCTTTTATTTTGATAAGATGCATAATCGTTCGTCTAAAGGGTTCAATTGATTGTGCTTCCTGCTGTAAGAATGTCCTGTAACTGTAGCATTAAACGCTCGTGTATCATTTAATTTTTTCTAACTTGTTCATTTGAACAAGTGTCTCTTAACCTTGACTCTCGTCCCTTTTGTTTAGATAGAGTTAATTTTTCATTTTCTGAATTGAGGTCACCTTCACCTACTCTTCAAAGGCAAGCAATTACGTTTACATTTGAAGCATGTGTAAAGATGCAGGATGTAGATATACATGCTTGCATTCTTGTGTGGACCTTTCCGTTAAACCTTGCTGGCTACTGGCTGGTAGTCTGGTGCTTTTAAAAGCATAATCTGATTTAAGAGAGAGAGAGAGAGAATTGAAAGTTGAGTGGTAGAACCATATTAACCAGATGGGTCAAGTAATATATATTGCATTTCACATGGGTGTATTCGTGGATAGCGTAGCCATCAATAGACTGAATGCTTTACGATTTGGCAAACTCTTTACCAATAAATAAGTAGCGGCACTTTCACTTTGTCTATTTTGATAAATTGCATTACTTTATTAAACCTTGTAAATTGTAGAAAATGGTGTAATTAATATACCAGATTTAAATAAACAGAGTTGGGAGACGAGGTAGATTACATAAGAGCATGATTAGGAAATAATAAGAGTAAAGACAAGACAGTACACAAAGGGGATCGTGCAGTGCAGGTGCAAGTCACGCGTGAGTGTGGACGTCTGTTTGTGTTGTTATTGTTAGATATGGAACGCAATCAACGCTACATTTTTAACTCTCATCTCATCTCATTACTTTACTCTCACTTCCATCACATTAATCTGTTTATAAAAATCCAAAAATAAAAGAGAATAAAGAAAACCACACACCCATGAAGAACGACGGAATGTTAGCTCTCACAAGATCTCTCTTTCTCTAGTAATACTAACAACAACAACAACCAACTCTTCCGCTCACCTCAATCTCTTCACTCGCATTTCCCTTCTTTCTTCGATTCCTGCTTCAACCACTGTCGGTGCTGCTACTTTCTTTCTTTCTTTCTTTATTTTTATTCTGTTATTCATTTCCTAGATCTGACTTCATTGCTACCCTTTCTATTTCTACTCTAGTTTTTCTTTCTTTCTTTTAAATGAACCTATGCTTTGCTTTACCCACAGAAATTTCACTTGAATTCTTTTCAATAATGTTTCGATTATTTGTGGAGGTTCTCTATAGTAAATCCTAACAATGTGTACAATTTCATAAATATTTACTCTTTTCGTTGCTACTGTACTAGTATGCACATTCCAAATTTATTTTTTTAATGTTGAACTAATGAGACTAAAATTCTTACTTTATGTCTATTTCTTGTTTAATTCGCTTATAAATTTGCAGTACCTACCTGTCTTAATACTGTAGATTTTCTTTGATTCATAGTAATAGAACTTCTTTTCTGCACTTTCAGGTCTTCTGAGCTTTAGCTGTTGGGGATGGAGGGTATATTAGATGCTGATACACCTTTAGATTATGCTACAATTCAAATTTTTCCAACCCAAAACAGGTGGGTCAGATCTCCTTTAAACTTCATTTAAACATTTTGGTTGAACATATAATTCAAATTTTTCTAAAAGGTTCCATGTTATAGCGGAAATTCAATGAAAGCCATGTTGTTCAAAGTATAAAATACTAATCTGATCAGTTGTAACAGTGTTGGTCTAGCATCTTTTCACCTTAAAATTTTCTTATGATTGGATGATCTTATAAAAGAAGCTTCAAACTAAGTCTTAACCATTTATAATTAGTTATTTATTGCCAGCTATAGAAGGAAATATGAAAAATGAAAGAAAAATCTGTTGTTGGATCAAAATTTCAATGTTAAATAGGAATCATTTAAGATAACAGATAAAATTTCATTGACCTCCCTTGAGAGGTCTCATTATGGGCAGACCCACTTATTTAGAAAAGTACGCTGAAACCTTCCCGAAGTATAGGAAAACAAACGTCTCCTTTGGAATTCATCAGACCTCATAAAATATATTTGAGACCTCCCTTACATGGGTTTGTTAAGAAGTGTGTTTCATTTAGTCAATTTCTAACTTGTATACTGTATGCAACTTTGGTCTAAATTATGTCTAGCTACTGTGTTGAACTCTCTTTGCCTAATTTAAAAAGCGATAAACATTGATCTCTGGCCATTCATATAAACATTTTGTTTTCATACTTTTGTGCTTTTATTTTTATTTGGTGCTTTTTTTCTTACCATGAATGAACTTCTCAAAATTGTTGATGGCTCTTGTAGGTATGAAGTATTTGTTTGTGGTGACAACAAAGTGGAAAAACTTGCAGTTGGACCTCTGGAACAACTCTTGCCATATATACCAGCATTGAAACCCTTGCATGCTGAAGGATCCTATAGTAACTTCACAGTCCAACCACCAGGAAAAGCAAGTAGTTCAGCATGGTTCACAAAATCAACTTTAAACAGGTTCTTAATATATAATGCTTTTTTTTCTTGTCTTCTTTTTATTCAATTTTTTATTTATTTATAATATATTTCTTTTATCCACAAAATGCTGGTACCTATGTTCCTCTTATGGCAGTCCTCGTATTTTCTTCTCAGATTCCTGAATATTGTTGGCTCACCAGATTTGGTAAATATCACTAAGGTTATAGAAGGTGAGATGTCTCAACTGGAAGAAGCCAGACAATTTCATCTTTCTTTATATGTCCAGGTAAATATTTTATCTCTTTGTGTGAATTGATCTTGGAGGGATACATTTGCTCATCAAAAGAAGTTGAATGTTCTCAGGGCAATAATATTGAAGCTGGGGAGATAGGTAATTTCTGCTAATGCTTACATTTTGAGGATATTTGCACTGCTAGATATTAGTTGCATTACCCCGATAGGTAATTCCTACTTAATACCTTCTAATTGTTACTATCCAATCCAAGGAGCTTATTCTTGTTTGGATTATTGATTCAAAAGGCATCTCAAGGAAGCTAAATCTTTCAATTTATTGTCCGTGTTTCTGTGAAGTGTTACCTCTTTGTGACTAGGGAGGTTCAATCAGGGAAGATTTGATATTGGGTCTTTATAGATATGTTGTTTGTGTGCAGAAGATTGTTTGGAAATTCCCTTTTTTTAGTTCTCTTATTTTAGGCCTAAAGAATGATGTGATTAATAGTAATTTTGTCGTTCGATTTCTTCACTTCTTAGATGGTTGGCTGAACAATTTCTGAATGCATCTGCACCTAGCCATCAATCTCTGGATGCTATGGACTGAAGATAATTATAAATATGTGCTAACAGACTGGCACTTGATTGTTAAGCTTGATAGTTGCCAGTTTTTTTTATTAATTTAAATTTCACAGAGTGACAGAGTCACTTTGATTTATTGATATAATAGTATTTCCTTGAAGTGAAGTTGAGGACATGTTGGTTAAGCGGAATGAATCTTATGGTGTGAATGACTCTGCAATTTTTTTTCTCCTTGTGTTTTTGCTATTGGATTGCACTAAAGATATCTTGAACTTTCACATTTCAGCAGATTCTAATATGTGCACCTTTTCTTTTCTTGACAGATGACTGCAACTCAAATGGCATGGCTCCACAAACCAAGGTAATTACTTTTCCTACTACTTTATATAAATACTTTTTTCTGTTTACCAGGTCTCTCGTGTCTTTTGTTCATTTAAGAGATCATAAGTTTTTTCTACCATTTATTTTTATTCATCATGATTTTTTGCGTGTGAACAGTCTAATGTTCAGGCTTCATCTTCGGACACTTCAAAGTACGTTCTTCTGATTATTATGTTTCCAATCAGCACTTTGGTAAGGCTGCATCCTCACTAATGCATAGAATATTATACATCCAGGAATGAACTGTTGCGGGCTATGGACTTGAGAATCTCAGCATTAAGAGGAGAGCTAGCTCTAGCTTTTAAGCAGGCTGCTGGTGCCATCTTCTCCTATGAAGAACTTGCCAATTTAGCTGAACTTCTTCAACATTTTGGGTTAGCAGATTCAAAGTAAGTTACCAATATAAAGGAAGCTTGTCTTTCCAACTTTTAATCTCTTCAATTAATTTGTAAATGCAACCTTTTCCATTTTTTTTTAATCCATATCTTTTAAGTGACAAAACTATGAGCTTAATGCCTGAAAAATGCAATTATGACTGGAAAAGTTCTTTCTTTGATTGTCTATTGCAGCAATTCTTTCTGTAAAGCTTTAGATACAAGTCAAATGAGCCAGAGTGCTAATCTCCTTGATGATGACAAGACATCGTTAACATATGCTTCAAGAAACGATAGTGCAAGGAAGACAAACTTTAATTCTCAGATGTCAAAACCTTCACTTGCAGAAACACCAGTTAAATATGGCGTTTCACCTGCTAAAGTTGCGCAGCTTGAGCGACAAAGCTCAACAGAAAGTGAAGAGTCTTCAGACTCAGGTGAGGAGAATCAAACATCTGTTGAAAGAAGTCGAGCTTTAGTAAGGTCTGCAGCACCTAGACGGTCAGCGTCTCCAATGAGGAGGATTCAAATAGGGAGAACGGGATCACGCAGGGCCACTGCACTAACCATTAAGAGCCTCAACTTTCTTCCTGCTAGAACATTGTCTCACAGGGATGTAGGTGCAGATGGTAGTGAAGAAGAAGGATCAGAACAAACCAGTAAGAGAATTGAGAATAATGTACGGAGAATGAGTGTTCAAGATGCAATCAATCTTTTTGAAAGCAAACAGAGGGATCAAACTGCTGATTCTCAAAAGAAGAATAGTTTAACAAATGCCTCTCTTATTGGAAATAAATCCGTATTGAGGAGATGGAGTTCAGGTATGGGGGAATCTTCTGCTCAAAGCCAACCGCAAACTGATTTGGACTATTCAAGTCCGCTAATCGCCAATGATATAGCGGACAGAGAGCTTTTAAAGGCTTCTTTTGAGATGAATTCAGAGTCTGATCACACATCTGATGGTCAAACTCATGTTGAGACTGCTGAAGTTGATGTTGAATTGGAAAGACAGGAAGAAAGGGCCTCTGAAACGATAAATGTTCAAGCAGATGCTGTTGTTACCCAAAGGGAGGACATTAATGAGAGATTAACAGCCTCAGCCAAATGGAGTCGACAAAAGGAAGTGGAGTTGAATCAGATGCTGAAGAAAATGATGGAAAGTAAGCCAACTAAAAGTACGAAGCCGTCAACTAGCAGAAACCACAATCTTTCCTCTGAAAAAAGAGGTGGTTTCTATGACCACTACAAGGAGAAGAGGGATGAAAAACTTAGAGGAGAGAATGCTCGAAAAAGAGCAGAAAAAGAAGCTCAATTCAGAGCAATGCAGCAGATTCTTGATGAGAGAAAAGCTGAAATGGCCTCAAAGAATGTGAATGATGTTGGGAAAAAGCATCCTCTGCAAAAGCCTCAGAAATCAATTAGGAACTTACCTCAATCTACAAATCCCAAAAAGGAAACTCTGAAACCTGCTGTTGCCAAGAAAGTTTCATCTAAAACGCCTCCCTTGCCTTCTACTCGTAAGTCATGGCCATCAGGACCATCACCAAGAGCTGCAGGGATATCACCAGCTAAAACTCCTGGTGGGATATCTTCTGCTGGAACAACACCAACACGTCGAAAACCTCAATCAGCACAATCTTTTCCTCGAGCAACCTCTAAAATGGAGCAATCCAATCAGCAACTGAGAAATGTGAAGGAAACTCAGGCAAATAATGAAAGGAGCTTGAAGGGTTCAAATGGAAAGCAGCAGCAAGCAAAGGCAAAAAGTAGCAAAACTACAAAAGCACCAGTTGCAACAGCTTCTAGAGATAGTTCTAGTCCAGTTCCGGCAAAGCCTAGTTTCTATAACAAGGTGACCAAAAAAAGCAGTGTAGTGCCACTGGAGTCAAAACCCTTTCTTCGTAAGGGCTCTAGAGTAGGCCTTGCTGTTGGTCCTGCTGCTAACAAGATAAAAAGTTCTCCTCAGGTTGAGGACTCTTTGAGAAACCCTGAAAATTTGGTTGAACCTCAGGAAAAAGAGGCTGTTGCAAATGCTTCTAGTCTGGTGATGGAGCATCAAGAGCAGGATATTGTACCAGTGGATCATTGTGATGCTGCTATGAAATTGGAAACTACTGTAAGCAGTCAACAGATACGTGGTGAGATGGAGAACCTTGATGAACCTGCTGCTGATAATGATGATGGCTTGAAAAACATGATAGAGTCGTCTTCTAAAGTTCAAGCTGAAGAAGAATCAATCATCTCCCCTGCTGCTTGGGTGGAAATTGAAGAGGAGCATCATGAACTGCCCAATGCATATCATGACAGCACAACTCAACTTGCATCTCCAGTCAATGTTGTGTCCATTGGATTGTCAAGTCCTCGTGTCCGCCATTCTTTGTCACAAATGCTGCAAGAAGAAAGTAGTGAACCTGATACTTCTGAGTGGGGAAATGCTGAAAATCCTCCTGCCATGGTCTACCAAAAAGATGCTCCCAAAGGATTGAAGAGGCTTTTGAAATTTGCTCGCAAGAGTAAGGGAGATGCAAATTCAACAGGTTGGTCTAGCCCATCTGTCTTTTCTGAAGGAGAAGATGACACGGATGAATCAAGGGCAGCTAATAAGAGAAATGCTGACAATCTTTTGAGAAAAGCCGCCCTTCATGCAAAGAACTATGGAATGCAAAAGTCGTCATTAGCTGAAGACTACGAAAAAAATGTTGATGCTCATCTAGTCTCTGGTATATTTCTTGTTGGTTACTCTGGCCATTTGCATCATCCAAATTTCCTTAAGACTTTATTTATTTATTTATTATATATAAATATATATATTTTTTTTCAATTGATGGAAAACAATCTTAAAAAAGAAAACTATCAAAATAACTGCAAATTTTACTTTTCAGTTTGGCAAATTTACCTTGCGTAGAGCCTCAAATTGTAAATAATATGGATATTTTGCATGCAGCCCAATCAAATACAAGCAGATACGATGCCCAGAATTCTAATAAGTTGCATAAGGGCCATGTCTCAGCAGCAGCCCCTACAACTAAAGGTCAGATTTTACTTAGTATATCCTCTGCTTCTTTTTCTCATGTTCTCAATGATTCTTCTTTTCCAAATATTAATAGTTTTCAACATCCCCCAACTTGTCATGTTTCAGCTACAAGGTCATTCTTTTCTCTTTCAGCATTTAGAGGCAGCAAACCTAATGAAATGAAGCTTCACTAAATGCCAGAATGATTATGAAGTACAGATTATTAGCATTCGTGTTATTTCCCAAGCCCGATATTGGCTGGAATTGGCTTGAATTGGCTTGAGGCTACAGTTTACTGACTTCCCACACCATTTTCTTGTTCTATTCTTCTGCATATCAGAAGTACTGATAATTGACATGTTTTTGCTTGTTTTGTTGGTGAGGGCGTGCGTGCGTGAAGATTCTATCTGTCAGTGTAATAGAATTCGTGTTCTACTGAACATATGGATTATGAACTGTTAACACTACGCTCAGAGTCTGGGTGTCCAACATTGGTGAGTCATAATTGATCCAGTGCATTATTGACTCTTGACCGTTTTATATATATTAATTCATTTGTAATATGGTATCTGATATCGAGTTGTTTTTTGTTGGTTAAAAGTTCATGAATGCTTAGTAACAAAAGGAAGGACAATCTTCGGACAAGGATTTAGCTTTAATGATAAATTATATATATATATATATATATATGCAGGATTGTCTCAATACAAGTCAGACTAGTTTATCTGTGATCTTGAGTAATTTCTGTAACATATGAGATGTGACGCTATCATGGCACAGCATTTAAGTTGTTGATCTTGAGTCCACACAAACATATGATGAAAGTGTCGTACCATTGTGTATGATCCTGTTGTATAGTTATGGGTTTCTCTGTAAATAAAGCATCATTGGATATAAATTGGTTTGATAAGAGAAGGGCGTCTAAATGCTTGTAATTCATATTATAAACTAGTTTAAGTTGTCTCATTCGCAACGAGGGTTCCTTCCCATGTGTTACCAAGTAATCATGTGTGAATCCTCATTGAATAAAATTCTCTCTTTAAAGACATGTCTATAACGCCAATATACATCGAATAAAACTCACTAACAAATAAAAAAAAAAAAATGCCGAGTTTAACTCGCAGTTTGAAGCAAGAGCTTTCGGAGAAGAAATGCAAAGCAGTTGAATTACAGTAAAAGCAACACAATTCGTTCACCAAGTAACAACCTTCGTGCTATTATAATATTCTCAGAGACTCCCACATTCAGTCAAACTGCTCACTAGTAACGACCCTAACGAGAAACGAAACGAAGATCCCCAAAGCCATCGGCAATGGTAAAGGTAAGACTCCAATTACATTGTATTTTTACTTATGTTCTGGTTCTACTCATTTGTGGATGTAAATTGCAGGAGATAAATGTTTGGATTATTCAGCAATCCATTCCAGTCATGAGTATGAAATCCCAAACACTTTGGAAGCTGAATTCTTGCACCTCGTTATCGGATTTTGGCAATGGCCCGCCTTTCCAAATTTGCTACTACTTCAATAAAGGTCTTCACTTCACATCAAAACTTTTCCACTTTTGACAACTTGATATTAATAAATATCGTATTTCTGCTGTAAAAGTAAGAAGTGTTCTTGAGAGGCCACTGTTCTGGTGGGTTATTGGAAAAACTGCCAGTTCAAGTCTAGGTTCTTTCATAAGTTGCCCCTATAAATCATGCATAATCTCACTTTTGTTTGTGTAAATACTATATAAGTGAAAAAAATCTTTACTTGGGTCACACTGTCAGAATTGTTATTTGGAAAGAGAGTCTCAAAACCCATGGTTTTGCTAGACTGTGTCCAAAACGTACACATGTTATGCACAGTTGTAGGTGTTATAATCGCATACATGGCTAAAACCACTATAATTTGTCATTTCGTTTTGTGAGTTAAGTATGTTGTCAGACTATCTTATTGCCAATATATTTTGGATACTAAAATAGTTAGAAAGAAATTGATAAGTCCATGTGCAACTATTAATAATTAATTATAATAATCTAACTCATAATATATCCTATATTTGTCAAATTAAGTCAAAGATAAATATGGTAAATGCTATGATTCAGTTCTCAACTTCAGTTTCACAAGAAATACTCCCTTTGTTTGATTGTTTAAGCAAAATCTGTTCTATGAATGAGTTTGAAGCTTATTGCAAGAAAAACGTTTGTGGAAATTTGATGATAAAATTATCTGAAATTGCTCAATTTTCTGAAGTTGGAAAATGTTCTTATTATTTCTTTCAGCTATTTCACTTGTAACTTTTACCCTAAAGTGGATTGAAATTAACTGATTTTTTTGGACCCTTGTTGACGTAATTAATGCATCATTACCCTCCTGATGTGGCACATCATTGTCACAGCATTCACATACCCAGCACACAATTGTCAACTCTAACTCTCCATGCAGTGAGAACCTTTTTTCAAGTCATTATGCGTTCATATCTCGGCAAATCCACCAGGATTACCTTATATGGATACCATTCATTAAAAGCTCCATAAATGTCCTTGTTAGGAGTGGAGCCTTATAAGATGGAGCGTCACTGGAGATTTCGGCAAATTTGAGGAAAAAGCTCCGCGAATTCTTTCACTGCTAGTTTGCTCGAAGGAGGTGTATAAGGTAATGTGTTTCCTATTTGCTTAAATAAATATGACTTGTACATTGTGTAACTTACCATTACTTTCAAATATACCAAATAGGTTTGTGCACACTATCCGATTTTATCTCTCATTGAAATTGTCAAATTGTTTCTCTGAGCTATGTTATAGTCTGCTTTAATGGCTGCTGTAAGGAATACAGGATGAATAATCGGAAAAGATAATCATAATGAAATAGCTTTTTCACTTGTGTGTATTTACCTATTGATCTTGTAATCATCGTCAGAGAATATAGGGATTTAAGGCTTATCGTTGATAAAATTTATTTCACAGATAGATCAATTGTACAAATATCATATTGTTACAGTTATTTGTATCTTGGTCGCGGTTGTACCATTTGAAAAGGGAAAATTTCATTAATATAATCTTTAAGAAAAAGCAATAATCTCCTTCCTCACTAGAAATGATGTAAGTATATGGTCTTTTTTCTTTTCATTGACTGTTCCTTAGAAAGTGGCTTGTGTGATTATACTATAATGAGCCGCAAATGCATTGAATGGTATAGTAATTGGGTGTTTTCCTACTTTTTCAGAAATTCCTATGTTTGATGTCTGTATTTGCTTCTATATTTGTATCCAAACCTTGTTAATTTTTTTTGTAGGTTTTTGATACTGTGACTAGGTGTGAGACTACTCTATCATTTATCAAATCAGCGTGCAAGTTACATCAGGTTTCGCATCAGAGGCTCAGTTTTTTCATTAGGTTTGATTGTTTGGTAATTAAAGTATAAAAGCTAGATTTTGGTTTGAACTTTTTTGGTTCACATAGAGTATGAAAGTAGCCACACTTCACTTGGATGACAATAAAAATTGTTGTTACAGCATCAGAAGTGATAAGCGTTCAGATGAAGCGATCAATTGAACTTTTAGAACAGCCAAGAGTTCCTATGGCCTAATTTGTGCAAATGTGTGAACTTCCACAGCATATACAAAATTTATCTTTTTACTCTTTATTAATTGTAAAATCTGTTTCAAAACAAGTTTTATATATATTTATAAATCACTCATTCCCCAAGGCTAGTGTGAGGGGACTGGTCCTTAGGCCTTTTGCTCAATAAGAAGTATTACTAGCTCGGCTGTCCCCTCAGGGACATAGATCGATATCTTTATTCCTTCTTAATTACTTTTTGGGGTTAAATATGTCTGGTTTTAGCTGCAATAGTCAACCCTTAATATCTGATATTTATTGTTGGATTATGACACAGGAAGATTACTAGAAGATTTTACTGGTAGAAAAATTAATCATAAGAATGGCATTTATGTCGAATGGAGAATGTAGAAGGAGTGCACGCTTATCTGAACTAGATGCACGGAAGGCTCAGCAAGCGAAGAGCCAAAATGGAGCCAATGGGACTAGCCAGTTAGGAATGGTACAAGATTCAGGTCCCAAAAAAGATTCCTGCCAAAAGCTTGGTAGAAAGAGGAAGACCAGACCTGTGCATGATCTTGTAGATACTAATGTCAACTGTCAAGTTCAGAAGGTACCTTTTCCTTTTGATTTTCTTTGCATTTACCATAACTTTTTCACCGCCTAAAGATTAAGATTTGAACCGTTTCAAGTTTTAATGCCTACTATTGGTCAGCGAAAAACGAGCATATCCCTCAGTTACCGTATGTGCTTTTGGTGCTCATGTGCTTGGTCAATTGCATTTATTGATAATGATGTAGGGAGTTGATAAATTAATCATGGAAAACTGAATTGTGCAGCATTCATGCATGTTCAGACAAGTTTTAGTTTTGCTACAGTTTGATAACCTTATTGGGGTCTTTGGTTTGGTGTAGGCCTAGAAGGAGCATATCTCCTGAATAATTTGAGGTTTTTAAGATTTCAGTCGTTCCTTTTTTTTCTTTCTCAGAAAAGGAATGTCCAGTTTGACACCTAATTGGTCACAGTATGCTGAAGCTAGGCATGAGCTGTGAGTTGGGCCTTATTCTGAAGGCACATATAATTAAATGAGATTTTCTTTCATAGACGCATTTTCATAGCAATTCATATATGTTTCTGCTTTGCTCTGAATTGGCAATGCTTGAAGTTCAAACCTTTATTGTTTAATTTCATATTGGTGTCACAGGCTGGTACTTCGAATGATGAAGACTATCATATAAATGCTGGTGAGCTTTTTTCCTACATGAAAATGTGAATTGCAATTTTATTTTGATTTAAGAACATGATCAAGATATTAAACTCTCAAATAAGAATTCACTCATTAATAGTATGAAATCAAGCAGCTGATGTCTTATCCAGAATTGCGACTCCAGAAAGAAAAAATTTTGAGCTGTTACTGAGTAAATTGAAAAGGTATGTACTTTTTATGTTAACTTGTGCTATGTATAGGATGAGTCAGGGTATTTCAATCTATAAATCTTTTGGAGTACAAATTTACATTTTTTGCACCTAATTAAACTGATTTTTGTATTTTTAGGAGAGACTTCTACCGAATCTTTGCAGAACCAGTAGACCCAATTGAAGTTCGTATTGAGTGAATTTTTTTATTTATTTGCTACATTAATGCTCTACATAATTTGTTTTTGATTAACTATATTTATTAATGAAAGGTCGAAGGATATTATGATGTCATTAAAGAACCAATGGACTTTAGCACGATTACAGAAAAACTTAACAGAGGAAGCTATGTAACAGTTCAAGAGTTTGAGGTTGGCTCCTATAACAGTTGTTTTTGTGTTCATTTTGTAAGTTTGTCTGGGTCCATAAGAGAAAATTCCTGCTATTTGGAAACTTTTAATCAAATAGTGTTCTCATTTTTTGCCTGGATGATGAAAAAGCACATATGTGCCTGCACTTTGTCTGGATAGGCACAAGGGTGGAGTGCAATTTTTTTTTTTTTTTTTAACATAGACATATTCCCTTATAATTGATGACTTTTAAGAACTCAGTGTTTCTTTTCCACTGTTGGGGCTTTCAGAGGATAAGAGTGCCAGAGATACAAGGTGTCATTTCTTCAAGCCTTTTTAACCATATAAAATTTGACATTCATGTGGCTAAATGAAATTAATCATTGCTTGCATTGTTTCTTCCATAATATCGCTGCTCATATAACTTGCCATACGAAGTCAACCTCTGGTAGGCAACGCAAGATATCACTTGCATCCTAAATGTCGTTGCTCCTAAGAACTTTTAACCTTCTGTTGACATTTAGACCATTGCTTTACCGTTCCCAGTCACAGTTTTGTTTTCCTTATCTGATGTTTCACATTAGCACTAGATGAATTTCTGCTTGTTTAAATTTATAAATGATATGCTTTTAAAGTTGCAACGTGATCTAAGTTGATTGGGTCCCTGCTGTTGTGATTGAAGTATAAAATATGGGACTTAATGATTTTTAGATTTTATGTGACTGAAGGAAAATTTTGACATATTCATATTCATTTTGCCTATCTATACCTTTAGATCCAATCAATATTTTATGTTTCCTTCTTTTGAAATTATTCATAAGTTATCAGAGAGTTTGAATTGTCATTCTAATTTCCCATCTCTTACATGAAGTTTTTGAGTTGATTTTATATTCTTTTGATTTATTAAGCCTGTAAGTCTCAGTTGGTTGATTGTTCATTGTTGATCTACAGCACGACATATCTTTGGTGTACAACAATGCAATGCATTTCAATGCTTCTGATACCATTTATTACAAACAGGTAAGTCTATATTTTCAGGAATGGATCAACTTTATCGTTTTTTCCTGATATTTTGGTTAACAAATGCTCTCAAAAACCCCTGTTGTCTCTCTTACCACATTTCTGAATTTGTTTTACAGGCACATGCTATAAAACAACTAGCTAATAAGCTCTTTAGTGCTCTGAAAGCTGATCCCACTAACTTTGAAACTGAATGTTCCATGAGAAATGTAAGACCTCGTAGGAGGGTCAAGGCTGTATCTGGATCTCTGAATTCTAACTCTTGCAACAATACAAATGGTAATGAGACAGTAGTATCAGAGGCTCGTCCATGCTTTTTTTTTTTTTTTACTGAATGCTCGTCCATGCTTTCATGGCTCAGCTTTCTAGTTCCATGGGAGATGTATAAATATGCTCTATGTCCTTCTCTTCAACATTTGCATTCAGTAAAGTATCTTTGATGTAGTTAAAGTACAAGTAATAATCAAATGTTCACAAGTATATTTTATGTATTCCCCTGAATGTTATGCATGACATAAATCTTCTACATGGATGATTTCAATTTCCCAGTGCTAATGACATAGAGGAAGTAGATGGTTCCCTCAAATGTGTTCTCTGTCTTACTGGAAATTTTTTCTTTTTCTTTTCTCCACCTGTTCTTTAAACAGGCCGTAGATATGAAAGAGGATCACGTAATTTTGAACTACAACCACGTTGGACCTATAGTTCACGTACTTCTTTTCTGAAAGAGAATGAGCCATTAGTGACACAAGTTTATAACAGCACAAAAAACCTTGAGCTGGTGAGTAACTTTTCCATTGCTGTGTATCAACTGTTTGAACCTTATGTATATTCTGTTTTCAAAATCTCTTCAACCAAAACTAAGACTCCTAATGAGATCTCTGAAGAGTGACTTTAAAATTAATGGCCTCATAAAGTTGGACTGTGATCCAGGAAGGATGTAATTGTTAAACATCGAGAGATGCCTGAAACAAATATAGAATTTGAGAAGAAGAGATCTCCTATGCTGGGCCCTAATTCTCTTTTTCATATCAATGTCTATTCAAAGATTTATCATTGTCTATGCAATTGTTGATTGCTTGTCCTGCCTCTGTAGGTTAAGGAGAAAAAAATTGGATACTCTGAGAGTTTAATACAGTTTGCAAACAATTTGGGGCCAACAGCTCAAATGGTTGCCAAGAGGATACTAGAAAGAGGCATGGCTGGAAGTTCAAACTATCATCTTCGAGCTTCAAATGATCAAAATTCTGCTGTAGTGTCTGCATGTATGGAATTGTCCACAGGTCCACCTCTGAAATTACTTGGGAACACTATTGGGTTCCATAGGTTTTCAGGTGAAGAAGTAGACATTCAAAATGGCATTTTGAATGGAGGGAAGGCATTATCTGTTGACAACATGGACATATATGATGTCTTGAGAGGAGGAATCGCTCAGGCTAGCAGCACCATGAAAACCCTTGGTGAGATCCACAAAAGAAGGGTCCAAGCTCCAGATAATCAATTCACTGCTGCAGAATTTGCACGAAAGGGTATCAGTGTTGCTCCATCATTAAAGGTTGATGGAAATTCTGTCAGATACCTTTCCCTTTCTGGCAAAGAATTAGATATTCACGGTGGCACTTTATCGGGTAATGGGTTTAACAAACATGTCTCAGTGACTGGAGATGGAAAGCTAGATTTTCCTGCAGAATGGGAGACAAATAGCAACCCGAACAAATTCAGTTTCGTAAGGTTGATGCTAGAAGCTATCCATGATAGCTTCGAGCAAACAACTGATGTGGTTTCTTCAGGGTTAGAAATGCAAGAGTTATTACCTACAAGTTACAGTTGTCCATCTTCTTCATTGCTGTGGCCTTTCCAATCTATTCCAGGAGGACCAAGTAGGAGTCAAGACATTGGCTTCATTCAGGAGGCGGATTTACAAAATCTTGGTGGAGTATGTCAAATTCAAGCTAGGGAAGGTCGGGAAGGTCCAAGCCTTGGAGGCAATATGGAGCAGGAAAGCCAGGTTTTGAATTGGTTTAAGTTGAAGGTGGACAGAGGGTCAAGTAGTACTCAAGCCTTGGGCTCCATGCAGGGGTTGGATTCTCATTATCTTGGAGTGCGTCAAGTTCAAGCTACAGCTGATGAGGCAGGCCCAAGCCATGGAGGCAATGTACTGCAGGGAGGTGAAGTTTCAAATTGGTATAAGCTGACAGGTTTTGGAGTGGATGGGGCAGGACCAAGCCATGGCGGTATTGTAAATGGAAGACAAGTTTCAAATTGGTTCAAGCCAACGGAGTTGGGGCCAGAACCTATTCCTGATGATTGGTTCCAGCAGCAATGTAGGTCTTTAGCTGAAGTGGAGTTATTATGTCAAGCTGAGCCCTTGCAACAGCAAGGCTGGGACATGACTCCTTATGATGGAAAGACCATGGAGACATCAAATATGTGTGACAGGAACACCCAGAGCAGGAGAGTTGAGAATTGGAGGTCCAGCTGATAACCAGCAGAAGCAACCCTCGTGGGATTCTTGCCTTCTTCAATGGGCTTTTCAACCATGAACTAAAGTATTTCATAAGTAGCTAGTAGTGTAACTTGACCATACCAGTGTGATGCGATGCATGGGACATGTTTTTTTGTGGTTATAAAGAAAATAAAATAACATAAAAGAAAAGAAAAAAATGAAAAAACAATGGAATTTCATGGTGCAGTTGGTGTTGTAGTCGTCAGATAATTGGTGATATTTTTTTTTTTTTTTTTATAATTTTATTTGCATTATATATATATATATATATGTTGGTGACAAGGTGGGGGTCGAGTTGATAAGTAGATTACCTATAGCAGCATATCCGAGTAAAATTGTGGATGGTATGAAATCAACATTTGCTTACAAATAAAACATAAAACCCAAACCTGTATGGACCATAAATAATGGGTATGGGTATGGAAATGAGGGATCATTTCACTGACTGTTATAGTATTTTCCAAAATCGTAGAGATGGGTTTAGTTGGTGTTGGGAGTGCCGCACAATCTCAGATTCTGGCTGTGCGAAGTGGTTATTCATCAAAATTCATGGAACTAAGGTGGGTAAGAAGAAAGGAAAGAAGTGGAAGCAACTTGAATTTAAAACCATCTATATCAATGATACCCATATATATATCCACAAACCCATCACACATAAATCTTCAAGACCTCAAACAACTCTATACAAGCTGCAACCATTCCTGCCACAGATTTCCAAAGTTGGACCCAAAAGGGGGTAAAGTTGAAGAAGCAGTTGACATTGATAAGCTCAGCGTTGCTCTCTCTCACAGTCCCGTGCTTGTCTCCCTCTTTTCCAGAAATCTCCATCTTGAATCTTCCAACCAAATGTTTAAAAACTTTATGCAAAGAATGATGCCAGTCACTCCATCCAATGGCCAGCTTGTGGGCTTTGGACGTGCCGTTTCCGATGCGGGATTAACTGCTTCTATACACGATGTCATGGTAAATCCGTGGCACAATTAACTTTAACAATTACATTCCGATCTACATAATTAAAATTTCACTTCCAGGTTATCCCTTCGTTGCGAGGAATGGGAATTGGGAGGCTGATAGTTAAACGAATTATAAGGTAGAGTTTGGTTGTCACTTTTTATTCAATTTCTGCTACTGCCTTCTCTTGCCCTATAACATGTACAGTAGCTTTGTTATATGAATTTGCTATAGTGTATTTAGTGATTCCATTTTCTGAACCTTCCAGAATGCTCACAAGTAGAGACATTTATGACATAGCAGCCCTTTGCTCACAGGAGGAGAGGTATTTATACTCAACTTTCTTCAATGTTCAAACCTTTGCATTTTCCTCAAGATTTCTCTTCCTCTTCATTTCAATTCCCCTCAAATGGTGTTTGAATATAGGAGCGCAAATATGTGACCATGTACAAGTTAAAGTAAAGAATAAAGAAAGGATAATTTTTTTTTTTTTTTTTTTTTTAATGCTGTTTGCCATGACTGGATCATCTTATCTATGATTTAAATGAAAAATACTTGGCTGCTAACCATGATTTATATGAACTTTGGTCAGGTTATTCTTTGAAGCATGTGGATTTGGTGATGACATTTTGAGCTCTACTACCATGATGTATACAAAGAATGTAGCAACTCATGATGGAGGCGACCACATGGTTAGACGTGCAGGTAGAAAGCTACTGTTAGTTCCTCCATTGAGAGAGCCCTGGCCATATTTGAAGCCAATCAGTTCCAAAAGTTGATTCATACTGTACTTTCAGCCAAAGGATTATAATACAAAGATAACATCTTTTGTATACACCTTATTAGAACATCTTTTGTATACACCTTATTAGAAATAGATCAGCATTGCTTCTCATTTTGAAAGTCTGGAACTTTTGCTCAAAGTAAAAGAACTGCCAAAAGGGAAGAAATGTGTACATGAATATTAGAGGCACAATTTTGAGTGTGTTTAGTTATAAGTGTCAATTTGGGTTTTATTCTGAATACCCTCCTTGTGAGAGTTGCTCCCTTTATATAGAAGCTATCAGACTAATTATAAGGCTGAAAATCAGCCATTACACAGGACTATGCAAGGTAAGAATAAACGCCTATCAATTCTATGCATATATACAATATACTCTTCTATATATAGCTAGACTAAAAAAGGATAGAATATATGCTGCCTTTATAGACTAGGCCAGCACATATCCAACTGTTAATTTTGCTAACATCCCCCCTCAAATTGATGCTTGGCGATCAAGAAGCATCAATTTGTCAATCAAGAACTGATGGCAAGGACGAGAGAGAGCCTTGGTGAAGACATCAACAGTTTGGTGTTCAGTGGAAAGGTGTGGAAGAGTAATCTCCTGGCGAGTAAAGGCTTCACGAATGGAATGACAATCCACTTCAATATGTTTGGTGCGCTCATGAAAAACAGGATTGGCAACAATTTGAATAGCACTGGTATTATTAGTATGAAGAGGAGTAGGAGTAAGCTGTGGAACACTAAGTTCGCCTAACAACCCTCGAAGCCATACAATTTCAGAACAGGCAGATGACATAGCCCGATATTCAGACTCGGTGGATGACTTCGAGACACGAGCTTGCTTCTTACTTTTCCAAGAAATGAGGGCATTGCTAAGAAACATACACCAACCCGTAACAGAACGACGAGTATCCGCACAACCAGCCCAGTCGGCATCACTAAAACCCTTCAATTGTAAAGAATTCCCTGAGGGAAAAAACAAGCCGCAACCAGATGTCCCTTTGAGATATCGAAGAAGATGACAGACAGCAGCCAAATGTGTTTGGCATAGAGCCTGAATAAACTGACTGACCTGTTGAACAGCAAACGAGATATCAGGTCGAGAAATGGTCAAGTAATTCAAATTGCCCACCAGCTGCCGATACATTGAAGGATCAGATAAGGGATCACCATCCACCTGACATAGCTTCAAATTGACCTCCATAGGTGTAAGAACCGAATTTCGTCTTGAAGGCCTGCTAAAGAAAGAAGGTCTTGGGTGTACTTATGCTGATGTAAGAGCATGCCATTCAGACAATGTTGAACCTCAAGTCCAAGAAAATATTGCAGTGGACCAAGATCTTTCATATGAAACAAAGATTTGAGGCGCTGTTGGAGCTGGTCAATTAATTGGAGATCAGATCCAGTAATCATAATATCATCGACATACACAAGAAGTATGACGATCCCAAGGGTAGTCTTGTGAAAGAAGAGAGAAGAGTCATACTGACTTTGAGTAAAAGTGAAATCCAGTAGAGTAGTACGAAACTTCTCAAACCATGCCCATGGTGCCTGCTTCAAACCATACAAAGACCGCTTTAAGCAGCAAACCTCAACAGAAGAGGAAGGAAACAAGCCAGGAGGAGGAGACATAAATATTTCTTCCTTCAGATCACCATGTAGAAACGCATTCTTCACATCCATCTGGCGAAGTGACCATCCTTTCGAAACAGCAATGGCCATAATAATGTGGCCACGAGACGAGCTTTATGTCTTTCGATAGAGCCATCAGCACGTAGCTTGATGGTGTAGACCCATTTGCACCCAATAGGCATAACTCTAAGAGGACAAGGGACGATGTCCCAAGTGTGATTGTCCTGAAGAGCCTGAAGTTCGTCTTGCATAGCTTGGTGCTAACACTCTTGAGTAGAAGCTTGAGAATAAGACTTAGGCACAAAAATAGTATCAAGAGTAGCCTAAAGTGCGGAAGAAGAAAAACCATACCAATTTGGAGGTCGGGAAACCCTAGTAGACAGGCGGGGCTCATGCAAGACAGGATCAAGTGGCGGTTCAGAGGAAAGAAGAGGCAGTGGGCGACATCGCTGATACACAATACCTGGCTTAAAACGAGAAGGAGTACTAGACACGTCATCAAAAGCAAGAAGTGAAATAGAGGAAGAAACAAGATTAGTACGAGACGGAAAGAAATATTGATTTTAAAAAAAAAATCACATTGCGAGAAATACGAAGTTTGTTAGCATCCGCATCATAACACACAAATCCTTTATGAGAGTTACTATAGCCAAGAAAAGCACACTGAACAGATTGGGCAGCAAGCTTGTGACGTTCAATGGGAGGTAAGTGAACAAAACAAACGCAACCAAAAACATGCAAAGTATTGTAATCAGGAGGAACACCAAACAAACGAGAATATGGAGAATCAAGATGCAAGGTAGGAGAAGGCAGACGATTAATCAAATATACAGCTGTAGATAATGCTTCTACCCAAAATATAGGAGGGACAGACGATTCAAGCATCAATGTACGAACAACATCTAAAAGATGTCTATTCTCACGCTCGACGACGCCATTTTGTTGAGGGGTGTAAGGACACGAACGCTGAGAAAGAATACCCTTCTGTTGGAGAAAAGATTGAAAAGCATGAGACATGTATTCTCCCCCAGAATCTGAACGTAAGATCTTAATACAGGTAGAAAATTGGGTTTTTACATAGGCAACAAAAGTTTTGAAGTTTAAAAACACATCAACTTTAGAGCGAAGAAAATAGACCCACGTGAAACGACTGTAATCATCAATAAATGTCACAAAATACCTATATTGAACATGAGAAAGAACAGGACTCATACCCCAAACACCAGAATGAATAATTTCAAAACATGTAGAAGCACGACTACCCTGCAAAGGAAAAGGTAAAGATTTGCTTTTTCCTAGTTTACAAGGAGCACAATCAAAAGACAAGGAAGAAAACTTATTTGTATTACTCAAATCACCATGTTTCATAAGATGTGTCAAAATGACAGAGTTGGGATGACCTAATTTCTTATGCCAAAAAGGGCTATTATTATTAGCAATAGCAGAACAACCAGCAGAAATTGAACGAGGAACGAAAAACGACTGAAGAGGAAAAAGACGTCCCACTTTAGGCCCCTTCAGCTATCTCCTGTCTCGACGCTTGATCCTGTACATGACAACCAGAACGATCAAAATGAATAGAACAATTATCTTCTACTAATTGTCCAACAGAAATGAGATTGGCAGATAAATCAGGAGACACGAAAACATTAGTAAAGGAAGACCCCAAATTTCCAACCGTAGTAATGGGAAGAGTACAGCCATCTGGGATCTGAATATGCTGCTCACCATCATACTTACGAACATCTTGTAAAGCTGTCGAACTGCCAGTCATGTGATTGGAAGCCGCAGGGTCAATTAAGCAAGGAGAAGTAAGGAGACGTGTCTTACATTGAAGACCAAGAGCAGAAAGGGCAGAAATAATCATTTGTTGAACCTACTCAGGAGTAATGTTGGAAGAAGAACTTGGTACAGCAGGCAGAGTGGAAGATATAGGCACAAAAGCAGATTGAACGGCAGTATGAAAAGCAGGAGCGGATCAATTTTGAGGGCGTACATGACAATCCTTAATGATATGACCCTCCTTCTTGCAATAATTGCAGAATTTCTTGTTGCAATATTTGGCAATGTGCCCAATTTCCTTGCAACTATAACATTGTGGTAGAGATCTGGATCGTCTGCTGCCTTGAGCAGCGTATGCTATATTAACCATCTCAGAACCACCAGCGTCTTGATCAAGGCCAAGCTGTGAGGCGAGACGTTGTTCTTCACACAAGAGTTCACCTAAGCAAACCTCCAAAGAGGGGATAGGTGTGCGATTGATTAACCCAGCTCGTGCACTTTCAAACTCGGGTCAGAGCTTCATCAAGAATTGATCCCGCTAGCTCTCAGAGTGAACCGTTTGTAGTGCTGACAAAGCTGCTTTGGGAACCTGAGAATGCACCAACCCAGCATAATCACTCCATAAATTAATAAAACCGGAATAAAATTGCTCAATAGAGAGGTTCCCCTGGCGATAGTTTCCAATGTCCAACTCTAATTGAAACTTTCGAGCAGAATTATCTTGATAATAAATTGTCGAAGGTAATCCCACATCGCCTTAATAGTAGTGAACCCACGAAGATTGTTGACCATATGAGGTTCAACAGAGCTGAGTAGCCAGGAAGTAATTCTGGCATCCCTACTTTCCCATAAACTAAGTTCCTTGGGATCAGTTGGGGCCTTAGAAGACCCATCCAAATGACCCCATAACTCCTTCCCTTTCACAAATAGCTTGAACTGAAACTCTCAACTGGTGTAGTTCATGCCATTAAAGCGAACAATAGAATTTTCTCCAGACATAATAACCACACAAAAAATTGATAAAGCAGAGAAATCACAACAGTTACTGGAACAAGAATTGCAATAGCCCAACAACACCAAAAAAAAAATTGCCGATAGTCACATACCCAAACCAGAATTGCGACAAAATTATAATTAGAAAGTATAAACCTGATTTACCAGAAATACCTCTCCAGAATCTGTCAACAACCACCAAGAATTCGTCACAACTAGAAATACTCCAGCCGACAGCCACCAAGCAACAGAAAACCAAGAGCCGACAGCCACCAAGCAACCCTGAAAAAATAAATTACCAAAAAGAAAACAAGAACTGCGAATTCAAACAAGTAGAGAGAAAACCATGAAAATAATTTGTAGCTCTGATACCATGTCAATTTGGGTTTTATTCTGAACACCCTCCTTGTGAGAGTTGCTCCCTTTATATAGAAGCTGTCGAACTAATTACAAGGCTAAAAATCAACCATTACCCAGGACTATGCAAGGTAAGAATAAATGCCTATCAATTCTATGCATATCTACAATATATTCTTCTATATATAGCTAAACTAAACTAAAAAAGGATAGAATATATGCTGCCTCTATAGATTAGGCCAGCACATATCCAACTGTTAATTCTGCTAACAATAAGTTCATTTATCAATATTTTGCTCCAGAAATTCAGTCCCTTATCCATACATTGAATTCCTGAACAATTTCGTCTTCACTGTTCACATTTGTAAATAAAGCATTGATGGCACTGTCTTGGACAACTTTGACTTATTGGCTCTGAGCACCGCCCAGGCATAGAATCATTTTGTAATTCTTTTCTTTTACTGGCCAGATGACTATTTTAATTTTTAAGGATTTTAGGCTTTAGCCACATTGTTGTGCCACGTCGACACGGATTCTTTCTTATCTGTAATGCACTTTGTAGGAGAAAAGTTGACAAAATATTGCCCCACATAATGCCTAAGAACAAGAATTTTTTCACGATCCAAGTAAAGTAGCCTTGGAAAGAATGCAAATTGGTTTGAATTTCCTCCTTTCTCTGTCAACTTTATAGATAGGAGAAACCTACAGGGGACAAATTCTCTCACCATCTCTCATTTTCTTCACTTTCTTGATATGGGGAAAATCTGGATTGAAGTCTGCCTGATTTCTGCCCGGGGACTTGGTCGTTCTTCTTCCCTTTGGAAGCTTCAATGGTTTGCTGTTGGGTGGATTGATCCTAACAACAAATATTGCACCAAGATTGATGCTTCTGGGAATGCAAACCCGGTATGGAGAACCAAGTTTGCTGCCTTAGTTGATGACTCAAAGTTCCAAGATATGGCTTTGCATGTTGAAGTCTACAGCAGAGAGCCCATTTTTCTCAGGGAAAGGCTTCAAGGAACTGCTACTATTGTCTTGAAAGAATTTATGGCCAAGTATAGCAAGAATACTGAGGGTTCCAGACCAGGAACTGAAGAAGTCGGGAGCTATCAGTTGCGCAAAAGAAATTCCAACAAACCTCAAGGATTTGTTGATATTTCAATTCGTATCTCAGAAGAACGGGAAGAGACAAGTTTATACCAAGGTATTTATGCTATAATTCTCTTAGAGCTAATGCACTTACAATATTGTGCCTCTGATCATTGAGATCAACTCTTTGGCAAACCTTTCGGTTCGTGTGTAGATTTTTTTGTTTTTCTTTTTAGCATAAGCAATTATTAATGAAGTTATTTTGAACAATTTGTTAAGTGCCACATTTTGGTCCCTGGGATGGGATTTTTAACATATGAATATTGAATTTAACTTTTTTATCTTTTTTAAGGTAACGAAGGTGGAATCATGCTCATGGATCAAAGCAACAACGTCAAGTTGTCAACTGAAGGAGGTTCAGGACAAGCCTACCCAACCCAGCTGCCTCTGAACCCCATTTATCGACCAGAAAACCAATCACAGACAAATTTTCCATATGCCCATTCAGTGCCATACTCTACAAATTATTCAAACGTGTCAGTTGGTGGACAAAGCTACCCTCCACCTGCAGGACCCAGCTATCGTCCACCACGAACTCCTCCACCACCACCACCGCCTTCCAATGTAGGTTACATACCCACTTTTCTACCTAGAACAGATCATTTGTCGTCAACTTATGTGGATACACCATCATCTGGACCCCCAGGACGAGGCGTGAGACCTGGCTTTGGAATGGGAGTAGGTGCTGGAGCATTGGCAGCTGGTGCTGTTCTCTTTGGTGATGACTTCATGTCAGGATTTGATGTACCTTCAGGGTTACAGGATCCTAGTCTTACCATATCAACTGATCCTCCCTTCTGATACAGTGATTATCCTGTAATTTCTGTAATTCTATGAGATGGAATCAGATTTTATTATATTCCATGATGATCCAACCGCTTGGCGAAATATTTCATTTAATAGTTACCATAGATCGTGTCGTGCAAGTCCTGGAAAGTTGATTTGCTTGCTCAAGGCAACATTTGGCAGTAATAGCAGAATTTCTGGAGCAGTTAAATATTATGCCATTGTGAAGCTATAAAGATCTCAAATTATATTAGCAAAAAGAATAATGAAGTATATCAAATATTTATCATAATGAAGACCTGAAGCATATCTAATGTTACAGCTCTTGTATATCTAAGAAATATCACATGTATCACCAGTTTCCCTGGACTGGACTGGACTAAAAATGTTTCATAACCATCATAACATCAACTGGGAATATAATCTCCATTAGATACTGCAACTTGGAAGAGCTCTTTTTAACAGTTACGAAGTGTTTGTTCAGTCTCCCACCAATGAACTTAAAAAAAATAGCCGTCATTTAACATTTCCTAGTAGCTTTCCTTCCTCCCCTCCCCCAAAAGCAAAATGCTTCTGATTGATATTTACCAGTCTTCTTTTAACAAACTTTAAACACTATCTACACCACACGCAAATTTTAAATTACTGCTTGCTCGCTCTCCTCTGAACTGCCAAAAGCTCTTCGCAGAAACCTCTCAACAACTGAAACAAACTCCTCGACTTTTTCTTCATGAGGCAAGTGGCCACAATTCTTAATTAGTTCAAGGCTAGATCCTGGTATGGCTTGTGAAAGTCTCTCAGCATTCCAAGAGGGGACAATTCGGTCAGTATCACCCGTGACAATCAGAACTGGGTTTCATTCAGAAAATGACAAGCATCACAACTACATTCCACTTATTCAAACTAATGAGTATCTGTATCTACGGCAGAATGAAAGAATATTGAAAGAGATCAAAAACTGTCATCGGATGCAAGATTTAGAAAATGCACAATCATCCATGACATGGTAGTAAATCATTAGAAAAGTCTAGCCTTAAAACAGCCTAGATCAGATGCTTTGACTAAAGTGGGAATAGGTAAGATACCGGTATCATTACCAGGACATGAGATTTCATGAAGTCTTTTTGCTAGTGGCTGCTTTGGTTCTGATTCACTATTTGTTAGCATTTCTGCTGTGAATTCCACAAGAGCCCTATCCCAACCCTTAGCCCTTAATGGCTGCAAACGACCAAAACTCCTGGTCAGTGCTGCAAATAACATAATAACATGATTCATTGTTTTGTTCTTTTGTTTCTTATGAAAGGATAAAAGAAATTATTGTTTTATTCTGCCTCGTAAACTTTGGAAAAAACAAGAAAGATAAAGTTAACAGGATACATTACCTTTGTATAACCATCAAGGATGTGTTCTGTAACTTTTTTGGAATCATACCATGCAGTCCTTACAGCAGCTATACCGAATTTATCAATTATCATTCTTACCTGAGAATCACAAAGGTAAGTTTTGACGAGCATGTAAAATATATTATAAAAATTAAACTAAGTGCCAAAATGCATTAACAGAATAATAGAACAAAATTATGGTTGTTTTTCTTTCATTGAGGGAAACCTCCTTGGACCTCAACCTTCCCATCTAATAGTAATTGGAGATCCTGGTTTAGTACTAAAATGACTTGTCCAGCAACGTATGTAACATATGTGGTAACCAAACAAAGCTGGATCAATCAGTCAGATTTATTCTCCAATTCTTCATTAAACACATTTCAACATAATTCTGATGCATGTGAATCCTGCAAATAATTGAAAATAATTGGTGTGCAAATCAAATGTCATTGGACAAGGGTCCCACAAATTCATCTGAGAAGTATTTTATCCACCTTCTGCTTATAAGGTTCTACCGTGTTAAAGATGTTTAGATTGTACTGAGGGAAAAAACAAAAATAAAGATAGTATTCAACCTTCAAAATTTTGATTTGGCAGGCTTAAAAAGTCAATTGAACAGGTACAGAGAAACTCAAAACATATTGTCCCATGAGAATGTCTAGAAATAAATTCTATACCAGCATTACGCCAAAAGCAGAGCGCAGAACAGTGGACAATAATTTCTTATACAGAGAATTGACCATATCTGCCATTCCCTTTGCCACCCGCAATATAGCTTGTGCAATGTGCTTGGTAAACATTGACAAAATCCCATAAAGCTTGACAAATGGCTTTACTAGATTAAATGAACCTGATCTATCTCTTTCAATCTGGTCATTTCTTTCCCAGGGATTTCCTTCAACAACCTTCTGTACAATGCGTGGGGCCAATATAGCAGGGGCAATGAGGATGAGAGCAGCAACTCGTTCAGGAGCTTCAAAATATGAATTAACTGCCACAAGAGAACCAGCTGAATGCCTGGCATGTCAATGTTATAAAAGGTTCAGACAGATACCATCTTTTAGCAAATAAAAAAGAGAAAAGAAATCAAATTCCGCCAAGATTGATTATTGACAGAAGAAAGGCACAATTAGGATCTACTTAACTGAGCTAACATTTGAAAGAAACTGGAAGAACTATAGAAATGACCTCTCCCTAGCACCCATGAGTATTGTTTTTTGTAGTGAACATATAGTTCTGCTCAATATGATAAATGAGATTTTTTTTTCCATGTAAGAAATGTAGCGTGCGTGCTAGCATCTATGCAGGAATTGGCATGAGACTGGCTGTAGATCTTTTACAATGGAAAGACCAATTAACAGTAAAAAGAAGATAAGAAACATTCAAACATACATACCCTACTATAATTGCCTTCTCAGCCGCCAAGAAATCAATGAAATACAAGGTAGCAAGCACAGAAAATGCCATGGAGAAGGGATTTAAAGACTTTTTATCCTCAGTATCAGGAGTAGAACGCTGAAAAGAAAATACCCTTGAAGTCAACCCAAAGGCTGGTCTGTCAAAGGCAAGTACTTTAGAGCCAGTGACACCAGCCAAAGGCTTCATAACTCGGTTCCATGAGAAAACTGAGGCTCCAAATCCATGTAATAAAACCATTGAAAATCCAATTTTCTTTGTTTGTTGAGGGAGTTGTGAAAGAATCTGGCTCCCTAAAGAGTGATCCGCTTGTGATTCTGCATCATATACCTTGTGGTGTATATGCACTCCTTTGAACTCACAAAAACAACTGTCTGGGTCAGCTAAAAGTGCCGGATCCAACAATTCATCCTGATCAATGCCGGCTATTCTCTTCCTTTTCTGCTTCACTTTCGCATCCAACAATTGCTCTGAAGAGTCAAAAGGAACCGAGTTTTTCAGAATCTAAAATACTACACTCTCACTTGGTTCCCCCACAAAATAAGAGTCAGGAAATATACATATTTAGGAGGTATGGCTATAATCTACGCTTCACTACCAGGAAGCGAATAAACATATGCAAATTATATAATAAACACACAGGGGAACAATTCATTTAGGATAATGGTAAATAATGGAGAAAGAGAAAGAAACTAAACCAGAATAACTAGCACCACCGGCGGCTGAAGAAGAAGCTGCAGCAGCAAGGAGCGTGGTGTTGGTGTTGGTGTTAGATATCAACAACTGTTTGTGATTGAAATCCAAACCACCATATCTCTTAGACTCCACATTATAAAAGTGATACAAGTAATCATTCCTAAACTTGAAACTAACTGTATACACAACTCCACTCATTCTGTCATTCTTTCATTTTATTCAACGCAAAGAGGCTCACTTATAAGTGGATAAATAGAACAAAATATCCAGTCAATACCAGTCCACGCTGAATAAAAACGATGTCGTTTACTTGCTGACATTATGTCTCTCCCTTGATATATAGATAAATACATATTTAAAGTCAAAAAAATTTCAACTTATTGGTTTGGTACTTTGGTTTCAACGAACGCGGAAATGGAGGCTCTAGTGTGTAGGAAATTGGGTGATCCAACATTGGGTAATAATTCACCAATCGAGGTCAGTAAAAGTGAGCCAATTCCAGAATTGAAATCTCCAACAGATGTTAGAGTCAAAGTGCAAGCAACCAGCTTGAATTACGCAAATTACCTCCAAATATTGGGTAAATATCAAGATAAACCTCCCTTGCCTTTCATCCCTGGATCTGATTATTCTGGGATTGTAGATGCCGTGGGTTCCAATGTTTCCAATTTCAAAGTGGGAGATCCTGTCTGTTCCTTTGCAGCTCTTGGTTCTTTTGCCCAGTACATAGTTGCTGATCAGTCTCAATTGTTAGTATTGCATCGCTTTTTTTTTTTTTTTTTTTTTTTCACTTCAAAATGACCTGGATTTTATCTATTTGATAGATATTAAATGTTTCATTGAAGGTTTCTAGTGCCCGAGGGCTGTGACTTGTTGGCTGCTGGCGCTCTTCCTGTTGCATTTGGAACTTCACATGTCGCCCTTGTTCACAGGGCTCAGTTGACCTCTACCCAGGTATCCTATTGCCATTTTTTGCTTTGCTTTTTAATTGTATATGAGAATTCTTGCAAGAGTTAATTCCGAATTTTAAGAAAGTGTTGGAGAGAGAGTGCATACTTACGCTTATGTTGGACTTGGATGGATATGTAGGTCTTGCTAGTTCTTGGTGCTGCTGGAGGTGTTGGCCTTTCTGCTGTACAAATTGGCAAGGTTCGTGGGGCCACTGTTATTGCCGTTGCTAGGTACTCTTTCTTATTCGGCATCTTGTTAAATATTTAGTTGCAATCATTCTTTGGGAAGAGCGATAGTATCATCCTAAATTAATACTTATAAAACTTTGTATTGCATTTTGGATGTCAGGGGCGCTGAAAAGATAAAATTTTTGAAGTCATTGGGTGTTGATTATGTTGTAGACTTGAGCAATGAGAATGTCATTGAAAGTGTCAAAAAGTTCCTCAAGTCGAGGAATCTGAAAGGGGTTGATGTTTTTTATGATCCTGTTGGAGGTAAGCTTACTAAAGATTGCATGAAGCTTTTGAATTGGGGCGCTCAAATCTTGATAATTGGCTTTGCAAGTGGGGACATCCCTGTCATCCCTGCTAATATTGCTCTAGTCAAGGTACTTGATTCCTAATTATTTCTTTCAAGTTTCAAAATCCATGCAATGCT